AGTCAACCATGGAAGGGCAGAACCTTCAGGGAGCACTTCTTTACAAGAGATGACACACTTATGAAAGAAATGGACAGCAGTCTGTGTGGGAAGAATGGTTTATGTACCTTATTTCTAAAAACTGTTTATTATTTTAAACCAGGAAAAATCAGAAGGGCTAAAAACACCGGTGCTAGTAAAAAAAAAAAAAAAAAATCCATCTAAGTACAAGGGAAGTTCATTGGCAAAGGGAAAAATTGCCATTCTAGTGCTACTTGCAGGTTATTGTGTGTACGAGTCAATAGCAAAGTTCATGTTTTTAAGACCTACCAGAATGATTTTTACCCACATTTCTAAATCCTTCGGGTTCCATCATGGACAGAAGTCGAAGTTTTCCAAAGAGCAAAACCCCCTTGCTTTTACTGTACCCAAACTTACTGTTGTTTGCTTGAAGTGAGACGCATAGCTTTGACGAAAACAAGAGATGCAGAGCCCAACGGCGAATAAAACTAAACATGGAAAAAAAAAATGTTAATCCTTTATAGTCCCACAATGGCGGGAATTCACTCTCTGCATTTAACCCATCCCTTTGGGGAGCAGTGGGCTGCCATTGTGCGGCACCTGGGGAGCAGTCTGGGGTAAAGAGTCTTGCTCAGGGACCCAGTGGTGGCTTAGAGGTTAGAGCACTAGGCCACCCGTAGCAGCGCAGTCGGATGTATGAGAAACGAGAAAGAGCAAGAGCATAAAGGAGTCATTTTTTGTGGTGTCATGTCATGTGCTGTTTTTTTATTTGCTTTGGTATTCAGGAACTACTTGTCACTTCGCTAATCAGCTAGATAGCTGAACTGATTCGATGAGAGCAGTTCCAGTTTACCAATGTGTAGACAAAACCTGTGCGTTACACAAACTTCCGTCTTGAATTATGTATGGATTTATTTTCTTTGAAAAAAAAATAATAAAAAATCAGATTTAGGAAAAATCTAATTTAGGAAAATTTATGTTTAGTACATTTTAATGCAATTTTATTAATATATTCTTTTTTTTTTTTTTTTTTTTGTGTTTAGTGGATTCAATAAACAACAGATTTTCTTAGTTTCCATCAAGAAATTTAACGAGTAATTAAGCTTATTGTAGACAACTGATGTTTTGATGCATCACTTTGCTTAATATCTGAACATCATTCAGTTAAAGTCCTGGTGCCAAACCAGCATCTTTGTTATCACTAGAGAAAAACTACTTATGTAGGACAGGCATAGCCACAAAACAAGCAAAACCATTCATTTGAAAACACAACACTTGTTTTCACTACAGCCTAGAGGGCTACGCAGGCGAAGCCTACGATCCTGTTTGTATAGTTTGTCCACATGTGTGTGTTTGTGTGTGTCCATTGGGGCATTGGCCCTAGACAAAGTGCTCTGCCAGCTCTCTGCCCACTGGTCTTTTCAATGCTGATGGATGGGCCTTGTTCAGCACCATCTGGCTAAAGGATACCTCACATTAATCATCACAAACACACACACTCTCACACACTCTAATCCCATGAATACACACCGTACAGAGAAGAACGAGCGTGATTCATATAAACACACAGAAGAGTCCCTAGCACACGCATCAGTCCAAAAAAAAAAATTCAGAAGGAAAACAAAGAGTAACAAAATTCAATAAAATAAATATTTTGTTCTTTCATTTTGTACTTTTTTAACTTCATCCTACACTTTAATCTCCTTCACTCCACCAATATTCTTTAATCATGGCCCTGTGGGTACATTGTGTTTAAAACATCAAAACCTCCCATTTTTACTCAACGTCTCTGAATCACAAATAAACAGACAAAATACAAGAACGTGACCAGTCTTATATAAACCACAACCTTAAGCAGATACACTACGGACCTTAATGTAATATGAAGGATCTTATCAGACTTCATTTACTTCTATCTAAGGGGGTTTTTGGGCTTAATAGAAGCTGATCTGCTCAATGTTTCTGTTTTGTATGGACATGAGCAAGGATAGGCAGAGCTGCGGTTGATCTGCGAGGAAGCATGCCTGACACTAGATTTGTTATCATTAAATCATAGCTTAAGGCTAACATCATTTGTAATATAAGGAGACTCATTTGCATATTTTCACTATGTATGGGTAAAGGAATATAGCTGAAGGTTTTAACACTTTCAAAGAATTAAAGAAATTATGGCAAGTTCAAATATACATGTATAATAGGTTTGAGGTAGATTTCTTTAGGCATGTTTTATACACAAATATAAAGAGGAAAAATAAAGGTAACAGGTTTTAAATACCAAAGGTTTCAATGCATTCAATAAATACTGGGGTGACAAAGGCGTAGGATGTCAATCCTGCAATGAACTTTGGAGGGATGTTATTTTAAACCCCAGCTCCGTCCATCTCAGTCAGGTTCTTGGGCAAAACTCTTCACCCGCATTCCTGATGATTGTTGTCAGATTGTGCCTGTGTACAGCAGCCTTGCTTCCGTCAGTGTGCCCGATGTTGCCCCTGTGTACGGAAGCCTTGCTTCCTTCGGTGTGTCTGACGGCACCTGTGTACGGAAGCTTGCTTCCATTAGTGTGGCCGATTCTGCCTGTGTAAGGAAGCCTTGCTTCCAGTGTGTCCAATGGTGCCTGTGTATGGAAGCCTTGTTTCCATCAGTGTGTCCAACGGCACCTGTGTAGGAAAGCCTTGCTTCCAGTGTGTCCCAGGGCAGTTGTGGCTGCAGTGCAGCTTGCCACCATCATTGAATGTATGAATGACTGAATGTAGTGTAAATCGCTTCAAAGTCCCCTAACTTGAAAAGGCACTAAATAATTTCAGGCCATGTACCAGATTTTAGACATTTTACTGATTGTTTAAATAATGAAGAAGTGAGAGTGTTAATCTACTGAAGATTAATTTATCGGACCATTTTCAGACACTTCTTTTGGAAATTTACTGCTGTAATTGCAGGCTACGGTATTGGTCAAGTGTTTTTGTTTTTAGTATCAACTCATTACATTTTTTTTTGTTGACATTTTAACTTCTAAGCCTTTTACTACTAAACAGAGAAATTATGAAGAGGTGTATGCTGTTGATTTTGTCATTATAGCTTTGGTTGGTCAGAGCGATGGCCTGGAGTCCGAAGGGAAACATATCATGTTGGAAGAACTCTGACCAACAGGGCTATCCATAGGTACCATTAAGTTTAAAAGTTTTTGCCTTAACCTGGATGATTATAGAGGAACACAAAAGATCTTTCATCAGAAGCCTCCTGTTTCTATTTTACACAATCATAAGCCTAAACCTGTGATTACCCGACTTTTATTCTTGGACCCTCAATTGGTTGGACAAGACAAGACCAATAGTGTAGACAACTGAACAAAATAGGTCAACTGCAGTGAAATGCATATAAAAAAAATTTAAGACAATCTTCTTTATATCATAAAACTTCCATAATTAAAGTGAAATAATTTTTTTAATTTAACTGCTTAATTTACTGCGTAATAGTTTTATTTTTTTACTATGTACACAGACCTACACACAGTTTGGTAACACCATACCAAACAACTGAGGGAGATGCCTCAGCTGAGATACATTTAGAGGAAAATGGGAAATAAATAATTCCATTTAATTATCAATTATATTATAACATCAAATACATTGAAAGACTTTCAAGGAAGCGACTTTAAATCAAAAATTTGCATACTGAACTAAAAGGCCATGCAAATAAACAGGAAGTGAACTGTTTCTTCAAGACTCTTTAAAGATTAACAGCTAAAGACATTGCTATTGTATTTAGCCATTCATTTATGTTTGAAGAAGTATGTTAAAAAAGCACACAGATGAAGACGTAGGAAAAATTAAGATCTGAGCAGTGTTTGTAAGATGCAGCAGCTAAGCACAGCAGGTTCATTAAGGCACCCTGCAGCACTGTCTTTTTTCTCAATATATCTTATTAGTGAGCGGGCTTACAAATACCAAGTACCTGATTTAGACACAAATGTGTTAATGAATTATAAACATTTTAGACTAACTAGGTTAAAATTATAATTGTTCCATGTTCTTACAGACGTGTGTGTGTGAATGTGTGTTGTACTTTTTTTGCTGAAAAGTCTAATTTATGTTTGTGTCCATCTTCTATTCTTTCTATGTGTGGGAGTGTAGAAAGAATGCTATCGAAAGTGGAAGCATGATCTTTCTTGAATTCTTTTAATTAGTGTGAAACAATTAATGCACCCTAGGGTTCAAATTCACATAAAACACATAAAAGAAGAAAATAGTCAAACCTAAGGTTCATTGTGGAACTCTGATTTTCACCATCAACGTCGGGTTCAAACATATCTTTTCAAAACATTTGTTTTTTGGTAGACATTTTTTTTTCTAAATAACGATTAGCCTATAAAAATGTTGATAAAGTTCAAAGACAAGTACGTAACTAAAGCTCATTCTCAGCAAAATTCAGAGACAATAGAACATTCTAACTCCTGGATCCTGTTTTTTGCAGACACAATTTAGACACAAAAATCTCAGAAAGGTAAAAACATGGAAGGTCATGTTTAAATCCAGCAAGCTTGATAACACAGGAACTCAAACACAGACAGAACAAGTGCACACATTATGATTTAGACCAATCTCTGGGTTCAGTCTTTTACAGAGTAATCAGGCACAAACACTTGTGCCGTACTCATCCACTACACTGTTGACAACAGATGGCCATCTCAAGGAGACAAACCAACTAACCACGGCTATAAATGTAACATAATGCTGGTGACAGTGACCTAGAACAGCTCTGCCTGGTTCTGATTAATGGCCTCTGGTCTAAGGGAAGGAGTGCTAAACACTCAAGGCTGTGCTCATCAAAAAGCGGACGGCGATTAGAAAGTAAGTGGCTGAAAAATACAACATCCAATACAGAACTTATATACCACTTTCCTTGTAATACGAACTACTTAAAGATCACGTCACTGAAGTGTCTTACTCAGGTCTTGATAAATACAAGATTTAGAGAGTCCAAAAAAAAGTAGAGGAACTTACCTTGTGGTCGTAGGGGTTGTAAGAGTGGAAGAGTTCAGAAAGCTTTTTAGTCCTTTGCTTCTTCTGCATGAGAGAAAAACAAAAGCATTATACATTTGAAAGGAGTTACAATTATTTTCATATGATTGCATTTTAAATTAATATTACCAACTTATTTTCTAAACCACGACACCTCTAAAGTGCAGCTGGTGGCCCTATCTGATCTATTGTTAACAATGAATCCATAGGTGGAATCCCACTGTTATGAATCTGCTCAGTCAGGAGGGTAATATTATGTACAAAGTGGATATCCTTGTGGTGAAAAGCAGTAGAAAGACGTGCTATTCATCCATGTGTATAACTTGTCCCTTGAAAGTAATGAGAAAAAAACAAAAAGAAAAAAAAACTAATTGATTGCCGGTGTGAACTATTTTAAGACTTCAGTTTCAACTTTAGTATTGCCAAAAAAATTAGATTGTAGATTAACATTAAAGATATACTGGGGAATGTTCTTTTTTCTGGGTGGATCCTCTAAGTGTACTTCGTTATTGTCGATTATTCTGCGTCCTACGTGCTCGTGATGAGCGATGACGGTGATGAGTCTGACATAGTGGAAAAATTGTAAATCTTTTGTAAACTAAGATGCAAACAGTAATTTTTAAACAGATCGTGCCCGAGCATGCTCTCACACGCATTTAATAGGCGGTCCCTCGCAAGAGCGGGTGCAGGGTTGTGCATGTTTTTTTTTTTTTTTAAGTGGAACTAAAAAAAATTGTAAAATTCCTCCACTATGACTTTAACGTAACTATGTTGAGTATTCAGATTCAGAACTGTGAGTTTTGTATCCACACTGCGACACATCCCTACCAACCACTAACAAATGATAATGAAAGCAGTTCAAGTGTCTGTTTATTAAAACAGTAACTTGCATGTTTTTGAAGTGAGGCTTCTAGCAGCTCTTCTAAAGCATAATCAAACCTAAGAATTTTGTTTTATTCACACGTTCTTTCACCATCTTTACTTCCTTTATTATTTTCAAATAACATGAACTTGGTTTTCTCCAAATTCAAGGATAATTTGTTTTAATTGAACCTGTACAGAAAATATTTTTCATTATCTGCAAATGGAACACATTTGAATACTTTTGAAACTTCAAATATCATTTATGTAGCAAGTAAACAGCAGTGTCCCAATCCTAACCTCACTAACTTTTCCAGATTTGTTGCCTGCTACTTAAAAAGCTCTTTTCAACTCCAGAACCACCCATTGTACACCTTTATTTTCCAACTTTCTGATTGGTATAATTTGATCAATATTGTTAAATTCTTTTTTTTTTTTTTTTTTTTTTTTTTAACAGACCAGCTGCTATCTTCTTTTATCTATGCGGCTGGTGATTTCCTCTATTAATTCCAGTACTGCAGAGCTATTATCTAAATCCATTTTGTAACCCTTTATAGAATATTTAACTATTTTGTTGGGTTTTTTTTATTGGACAGTACTTATATGTGTTTTTTTTTTTTTTTTTTTTATCATTCTTTTAGGCACTAGTGACCTTTTTTTCTTAAGTAGGCAGACAAAAAATGCCCCCTGGACCCTGGCCATGTGTCATCATATCCATCTTTGAAAATTTTTAGGAATTGTTGTCCACTGTTGTGAATTGGCGCTACAGAAATAAACTGAATTGAATTGAAAGTTTCATAAGCTTTACCTATGTTTTACACCTTGAGTATGGAGTCCCTATTTTTGACTAAGCAGATCTTATCTTAATGCAACTATTGCCTCTTCTGTTATTATTCTATTTTCTGTATTGTTCTCAGCAGGTTTCATTCTTTACCCAGTTGACATAAACCACAAACAAAGGAAAATGGTCACTGATATCACTGATAAATGAACTACTGGTTGTGCAGCTATGTATATGGTTTGTTAATATATATTTACGTGGTGCTGTTTATGTGATCGATATATGATCTGCTATATTTATGTGATCCTACTGGGTCTGGCCTAAACTGTACAGTATATTTAGAAACACTTCAGTAGGCGTATGATTGCTGCTCTGAGTTTAGCAAATCAACATTAAAGTCCCCACAGTTAAAAGATCTGATTTACATTTATACATGTTTCTTCAAACCCCCTAAAAAATGTCAAGAACACAGCTCTGTATTCCATAGATACCAAACAGGCTTTCTTCTTTTGCATACAGGTTTCAATCCTATTACATCCAACTACGCCCTCGATCACTTTTGTCGTTGCATCAATTACTTCTTTAGGTTTCTGTCCATACATAAAGCCATTATGGTAAACTGCTTTTTGATATTCTTTGGTGTTGTTAAAGTTTCCATACAAGCATTTATCGTTGAAACATATAATGCTCTGAGTGCAACTGTTAGTAAGTCAGCACATGCTGATTGTGTCATTCAACTAGCGAGTTAGTGTCACTGGATGGTACTTCTCTGCATGGTACACACATCAATTTCTCTAGCTCCTCTGTATCTCTGATGACCATAACCTTTGCCTTCTCTGGTGATCCCTTCAATTTAATACAACCTTCTAGTTTGCCTGAATTGTCTGTTAATTCTCTGGGATCCTGGCCTGAATATATCAGTGTTCTTTTTGGTCAGATATTCACTGTTTACATTTAAACATTAGTCCCACTTAGCCTCTTTCCTTGTTTAGACAGGTTTTTTTTTAATGTTTTTGATTGAAAAACTTCATGATGATGGCATGATTATCCTTAGAGTTTGTCTTTGGCAGATAATGGCGAGCTACGATGTGCTCATAGTTTAGTTTAATCCCAAGAGATTAGAGAAATGTAGCTACGTCTTGATCAGCAGACTCACAGTCCAGCTCTTCATGGTATCCTCCATTGTAGTGGGATACCTGATGATGGTAACCTCGTCAGGTATTTTTGAGCTGGTATTTATCTTCTATGGAATACCTTAGTACTCATTTTCTCATTTTCTTAACCTCTTCTGCCCCTGGTGTCTTCTTTAGTCCCAAGCTGTAATAGCTTGCATGAAATATTGTTTTGTTATTATTTATATAATATTTTCCATGTAACAAGAGTTTAAAAAGTGCAAGACAAACTGTACAGAATTCGAATTGCCGAACCACCAGATAGTCTCTTTAAAGAACCGACCATGGGTCACTGCTGTGTTTCAATAAAAGAAAACATTGCAGTTTTTTCACAGCATCAGAAGAAAATATTTCTCATCACAGTTTTTCCATCAATGTTGGCATCTTGGTAAGGTGTAATATGATGTAAAAGAGTGACATCCCACTCTATGGTGTGTCTTGTTGTTGCTACGGCATTCAGTTACACAACACTGGCTCAGTTACAGGGAGCACTAATGAGTTTGCCGATTACACCACATCCAGCCAAAAAGGCATATATATATGAATGCATTCCTGTAGCTAAGGGGAGCCTGCATTTACTGTCTCTAACCCAGACCTGTAGATGCTGAAGAGAAAATCTCGTCAGTCAGCCATCATTATAGCATGACAGACGCACTGCCTGAGGATAGGCAAAGCCAGTCTGATTTGTAAAGAGGAGAACAAGAATATGTGGTAAAGTGGACAAAGATGAACAGAAACAAAAGTCTGATAGGCCAGGCTAAAAGGATGTTATCAAATTGAAAATATGGAAAATGGCAATAAGAAAATGTAAACAATGGAAGAAAAAATAAAGAATTTGGGGTGAAATTGATTGATGGGAAAAGGTGTTATAATTGGGAAGAGACATTGGACTTGTATATTTCTTTACCTCTCCTGAGAACCCTCTTTCAATGATTCTCTCATTGCCTGTTGCTCTAATCTCCCTTCCTCCCAACTGTGTGTATCTCCACTCCTTTTGCATCCCTGCAGTATATTTCTACTCATCTAAAACTCACACAATGCTCCTCTGATCCACACAATCCTGTAATCATTGGCCTTGTCTTCCTACCATCCTCTCAATCTTGTTTTTGTATGATTCCCTCTTTCGTCTTCAGCCAGAAGGCCCTTCACAATCTCCAAATCCTTTTTTTTTAAACTCATTTTCTTTATGCTTTCCTCAAGTTCCTCTGAGCTTTTTTCCCTCCATCGCTCCTTTTGTTTTTTTCCAGAGGGCAAAAACTCACTAATCATTCAGTCTCCACTATCTTACACATCCTTCTCTTCACAAGTCTGTCCCTACACAATTTCTCTCAATCTCTCTCTCTTCTTTGCCAGGAGCACCTTCGATGAGAACAATCATTACTTCTCAACAGCCTTTTCTCTCCTCCTGTCATGCTTTCATCACTTTTATTGCAACTCTGTTTGCTAGATACACAACCACATCTTTTGAACTGTAAGACAAATGTTATTACAGCCTAGGTTTTGTCAACACATGATTACTATTAGTTTTTTCAGTTGTATAAAATATACATAAATATATATAAGGGATTAAAAAATATATTTAAACACTGATTTACACGAATAAAACTGATTATAGCCTTTTTAATTGCCTTTTAGCATAAGGATCTAATATATATATATATTTTTATGACAAGGGGGCTTTGTTTAATCCAACTGTTTTAATAATCTGAAGTGTTATAATTTAAATAAAGCTGCCATATTCCATGTAATAAACAGTTGTCTTAAAAAAAATTGTCTAATTAATACAGGGAATGTAATGACAGTGGATGGCCAGAATATAACACCGAGATACCGGCACAGTGCTGAGAAGAGATCACTATGACAACACTACGGTGTGCTAAAAATGAGAGGTAACTCATGAACTTTAATTAAACATGGAGATCATTATCTTCAGACGCTGGTTACCTCTGAAACCTAAGACCAAAAGCTATAAACAGCAACAGATATATCTTTTAAAGCAAAGCTCTTTTCTTTGTTGCTATGCAAATTATGACTCCAAGGAGTTTTGTGTATTCTGCTTAAGGAATATCATTCTGCCTTTACAATGCATAAAGTTCACTTTACAAATAGTCCTTAAAGGATAAATGTAACGTGCTGTTTAGGCATCCTCTGTTGTTGAGTGGGCAGTTGATCTTTAGAAGTTGATTGATCTCAGAAAAACTGCATTATCATCTGTCTAGCTTTAAGAAAAA